CGGTCAGTGTCAGCAGCGGCTGAATCTGGACGCCAGTTCCGACTTACATACAGATTCAACTTAAGAACAAACCTACAGTCCCTATCTTGTACGTAACCCGGGGACTGCCTGTATAGTGACACGGGCTAATCCTCATGAACCACCACCGTTTTATTGCCCAGCCCTGGTCCAACTCCCTTGTATCACCAGAGCAAGGCAAGGGGACCAGATCAGCAGCGGCTGAATCTGGACGCCAGTTCCGACTTACATACAGATTCAACTTAAGAACAAACCTACAGTCCCTATCTTGTACGTAACCCGGGGACTGCCTGTATAGTGACACGGGCTAATCCTCATGAACCACCACCGTTTTATTGCCCAGCCCTGGTCCAACTCCCTTGTATCACCAGAGCAAGGCAAGGGGACCAGACTCTGACAATCTGAAAACCTGTAAAAGCAAATTGGTAAAAAGTAAACAGACCAGATCAGATAAACTGCCAGACAAAATCTGGTCTATCTTCCTAATTTGCATTTACAGGTTTCCAGACCAGCAGACTAATCCACAAAGAAATGACTTTTGATCTGTTACTTACAACATGGAGATAAGCAAGTGTTTTCTGCTATCTCAGTTAAACGACAGCAGACAATATTTTGAAGGTGAAGGTCAGGTCTCAGATTCTGATACTCCTGGCACTATTTCCACAATGGTAATACTGTGTCACACTCTTCCCTGGAGTCTAACTCCCCAAAAGCCCAAATTATGCATCTGCCTTTAGTGCAATCCTATAGACTTCCCACAGGAGCTCCTGCCCTGTTCACTTGTCCATGCATTAGAAGAGGGAAGGCACATGGGAGAGGCGGCTTGGGATGGAATCATTGTTGCATCCTGACAAGCAACGGGGATGGAGGATTCACTGACTGCTCTGAATGATGCTGGAGCTGGTGAAGAGCCAGCTTCAGAATCAGGGAGCAACATTCACTCTTCCTAGGGGATCCCCTCACACATGCAGCACTTCAGATAATTATCCATGACAATTTTGTGACGCCGTTATTTATCTTTTGACCGCTTTTTGCATAATTAAAGAATTTTTAGAAGCTGGGGAAAAGTATCAGAACAATTAGTGGTCCTCTTCTGTAAAGTTCTTTGAGATCCACTGATGGAAAAACTCCTACAGAGCCAATTTTACCTACAAGAGCCTAGAAATGGTTGGGATGACTGCCGGAATAGCGATGATCAATCCTAACTTGCACCCTACACCGAATATTTAGCTGCAGATATTCATTATCTGTCTCCTCAAATTATGAGACAAGCATCTAAACACAGGCTTGTGGTCAAGTGCATACTTCCAAGCTTCACAGAAAGTCTTTCCCGGTCACTGAAATGCAAACACTAATATTATAATTCAATTACTGCCTTGTGAATAGCTTCTACTTACATATCCCAACAATAACTGAGAAAGTATGGTCCAGGCTCAAGTAGGAGAGGAGATTATAGAAGTTGAAAGAGATCAGACAGAAGCATAAGATGACACAGATCCATTCTTGCAGTCGTTTCCCTGTTGAATAAAAGACGACACATTAATAGTAATATCTGAAACAGTGTGTATTAAAAGCCAACGTACTCCATTTCCTGTATTTCTCAGTCTTTCCTCTCTCATCTTTAGAAATTATGGGGCAAGAATTTTAGTGGTGGGAGCAGTATTTTGTCTGGAGTCAAAAAGACTCCTGCTATGCAACATTAGTTAAAAAAAAAAAAAATCAAGGATAGAAAAAAACATTTTGCCCCATTGTTTTTAGTTTCTTCTTTGCAATGTTCACTGTCATGCCCCTCAGCTTTGGCCTTGCTTTTGAAGGTGCCATACCTTTTCTGAGAAGCAACAGGAAGTAGCATGTCTCTTCACTGTTAATGGCACTTTTTCAGTACTGTCAGCAGCGGAAAAGTTCAGTTTCAAAGTACTGATCCCTTCACCAGGGTTTTTCAGTCTTAGGAGTCTAAGTGATTGCCTTTGCCCCCCATATCCAGGTACAAAGGCTATTTTAAGAGTGGCCATAAAAAACAAGCTTCCATCATTTTAGGGAAACAAACCAAAGGTGTTTTTATGTTTCGTTTAGCATATTCAAACAAGTACACCAAATGAACAGGAAAAATGTGTTCTCTGGTATTCCAGTGCCCATGTCAAAGCTGCATTCATAACATTTTATATGGAGCTCTCAAAGCTCTTTAGGCATTAACAGGCCAAGCCTTCATAGGCTTATTTTGACGAGGAAAAAACCCAATGTCCCCCTAACTTGAGTTAATTAAGCCAAAGGAGTTTGTTTTTACACCAGCTAGTAAGTAATATTAAAGATTAGTCTTCCCAGCAGCCTTTAACTCAATCTGCTAACTTGTGTGAAAATGACAAACTGCCTAATCTTTCCTAAGATTTTACTTCAAGTTAGCCAACTCAAATTAAGAGCACATTTCACACACTCTCAGTGAAAGCTCATGGGGTATAATTCTCAGAGTGCTAAAAAGCAACACAGATGGATTCTGTTCCCAACTCTCTCTCACCTAAGAGTCTTGAGTCTCAGATGCATGCAGAAATTTGGATACAGGAGGCCCCCGACTTGCGACACTTCTTCTAGAACCAACTGCGTTGCAAATCGGGGGCATCATAACTCGAACCCTCATTTATGATAGGTGCCAAGGACGTAAGTTGGGCATTTTCAGCCCCTTCTGCACTGACAAAAATGGTTGTAAGTGTGGAGGTTTGGAACTTAGGCAGTCGCTAGTCAGGGGCTTCCTGTATAGTAGAGCCTCAGAGTTACAAACACAATAGTACCAACTTAGCCAAAGAATTAGAACTGGAAGCACTCAAACAGGAAGCAGCAGATGCAGAAAAGCACCACCGTATTAAACAAAAATAAAGGGAAAGCAGTATTTTTCTTCTGCATAGCAAAGTTTCAAAGCTATATTAAGTCAATGTTCCGTTGTAATCTTTTGAAAAAACACTAATTCAGAATTACAAACGTTTCAGAGTTACAGACAAGTTCCATTCTCAAGGTGTTCATAACTCAAGGTTCTATACGATAACATGAAACAATAGGACATAAAGCTATGACAAGAAATTCTGAGGCACTTGTGAAGACAACACAAGTGCCATCTGAGAATCAGCTGAATCTTGCTACAGTTCATCATATTTCAGCAAATGTTCACTCCTTTCCTTTATAAAAAGGAAGTTTATATAAGTTTCAGAGGAGTAGCCAAGTTAGTCTGTAACAGGAAAACAGTGCCTAGTCAGTCTAGTACAGTGGTCCCCAACATTTTGGGGCTACCGGGCACCTGGGGGCGGGGCCGCTCACGCGCTGCATGTATGGGGGCGGGGCCTCTCACAGGCCACGTGACTGGGGGTGGGGTCAAGCATGCGCCGCACACCTGGGGCCGGCACCGGCATGTGCCGCTGCCCAGGTGCCGCGGGCCCGGGGCCGGCCATGCACCCAGGGCTGGCACCTGCCACACGCCTGGGGGTGGGGCCAGCCCAGACTGCTACATGGGCGCACATAAATGGCCCGGCGGGCGCCATGGTGCCCACGGGCACCGCATTGGGAACCACTGGTCTAGTAGGTATTTCAGGATAAAATTACACTCTAGATTGCCTGCAAATCACAACCAGAGCTAGAAACCATCCATTTGTTACTGGCTAATCAAGTCAAGGACAGGGAGACACTCTTAGACAAAATAAAAAGAGGTGTATTTACAGTCTTTTAAAATGGCCCGTAAAAAACAACAGTTGTTGTGGTTACAAGTCATGAATATTCTATTAGCTATTCAAAGTCCCAATCACTTCACTTCTTACATCTCATCTGCCCTAGCAACTTCCTTGCTGCTGACAACAGTTATCTGCCACAAAGCTGAACTGGTGCTGAACAGTTTATATAAGCTTCAGAGGGGTAGCAAAGTTAGTGTGTAACAGGAAAAACTTAACACACAACAAACAGTCAGTCTAGTAGCACTTTAAAGACTAACAAAACATGTATATAAGCACTGTCAAGCACAAGCCATCAGAAGTTAACACCTTTCTGAAAAGGTATTGAACATTAACCACTTACTACTTTTACAATAAAATCATGTTTAGCACCTGTTCAAGTGTACCTGTTGCAGATATCAGCCATAAGTAAGGGTTACTTTTTGCAGTGTAGAAGACTACCAGTGCCAACTTATCAGTGCTGGAGCACCCCCCGGGGGGGAGGAATGAATGGGTGCTGGGCACCCACCAGCACCAAGTTCCCTCATTCCGCCTCTTCCCCCTCCCATCCCACCAGCTGGTGGTCCTTTTGACCAATTCGCCCCTCCAAGCACACACAGGGTGTGCTCAGAAGGAGGTAGCAGGGAAGAGGCAAGACTTGGCCAGAGTTGAGCCCTCCCCTACTCCCGCCTCCCCTGCTATAGGGGAAAGTCAGCACCTATGTTAATACCTGTTTCTGGGTGTTTAGGAAAACCTTGCTAAGCTGCACACAGAGAGGAAAAATATATGGTGATTAAGGGTCTGTATGATGAGCAGGACATTTTGTTATTCTCTTAAAAAACCCCAAACAGACAGCAAATAGTCTGGCAGCACCTTAGAGACTAACAAAAATGTAGATGTGCCCAAGAAAGCTCATGGTACCAATCTACTTCTTCAGGTGAATGGAGTTAAGGGAGTAAGCCGAGTAACACAACACGGCCAGAAAGCATTGCTTTATTAAATCAGAAATAGAATTGGATAGGAATAAGTATCTTGAGAGGTCAACACATCCTACTCCAGGGGTTCTCAAACACAGGACCCCTCAGGGGGTCAACAAGATTACTACATGGGAGGTCACAAACTGTCAAACTCCACCCCAATTACTGCTTTGCATCCAGCATTTATAATGGAGGTTATAAATTAAAAACACTTTGGTCTGAGAAGATGAATGTATCTAAGTTGTATAGATGGATGCTGGATAGCAAATTACTTTGTGAACAGAACAAAAGCAATTTAAAGGAACACCAAAAAAAGAACAGGTTTTGAAAGAAGCATAAGGTTACAATAAGGAAGTCTGCTCTAAAAAGGCCTCCAAGGTACCCAAAGTTGAAGTTAATTACAGGCAGTCCCCAGGTTACGTACAAGATAGGGACTGTAGGTTTGTTCTTAAGTTGAATCTGTATGTAAGTTGGAACTGGCGTCCAGATTCAGCCGCTGCTGAAACTGACCAGCGGCTGAGGTTTTGAAAGAAGCATAAGGTTACAATAAGGAAGTCTGCTCTAAAAAGGCCTCCAAGGTACCCAAAGTTGAAGTTAATTACAGGCAGTCCCCAGGTTACGTACAAGATAGGGACTGTAGGTTTGTTCTTAAGTTGAATCTGTATGTAAGTTGGAACTGGCGTCCAGATTCAGCCGCTGCTGAAACTGACCAGCGGCTGACTACAGGAAGCCCAGGGCAGAGCAACTCTTCCTCCGGCTTCCGCACCCCAGCTGCTCTACCCCAGGTGTCCCCAAGTCAGCTGCTGCTGAAACTGACCGCCAGTTCTGATTTACATACAGATTCAACTTAAGAACCCCAAGCGTCCCCAAGTCAGCTGCTGCTGAAACTGATCAGTGGCTGATTCCAGGAAGCCCCAGGCAGAGTTGCCTCGGGCGGCTGAATCAGGACGCCTGGGGCAGAGCAGCTGGGGTGCTGCCGGGTTGGTCCAGTAGTGCCCAGAGCGGCGCTGTGAGACCAACCGGCAGCGCCCCAACTGCTCTGCCCCAGGGTCCACAACAAAAGCCTGGTCTGTTGGGGGGAGGGGCGCACTAGATGGGCCCCTCCTTCCCCAGCAGAGCAGGGACACGGGGAGCAAAGCCGCAGCAGCGGCGGGGGGCCGCACCTCTGAGGCTCGGGGGGCGCTGGGGCTGCCCCGCGGCCCCAGCCCCTCGGGACAGCCCAGGCACGCCTGGGCTGCCCGGCTGCCCGAGCCCCTCTGCGGCTTTGCTCCGCGTCTTCCTGGTCTGCAGACCAGGGAGACGCAGAGCAGCTTTTATCGCCCCGGCGGTGGGCAACGGGACCATGGTGCATCTGGGCGTCCCGCCGCTCCCATCCTCCAGAGCGAGAAAAACCCCGTTCATAACTGCGGATCCGACATAAGTCGGATCCACGTAACTCGGGGTCTGCCTGTAATGCGCACATTCTGCATAGGACAAGTGGCATTCTGATTAGAAGAGCTAACTTGAGAGGTCCATAAGGAGCAATTAGTTGATAATGTGGGAAACGTCAAGGCACTTTTTCACATGTCCCAAAGAGTGTTTACCAGAGCCCTGGAACTCTGCATATTAGAGATAGATATGACATTCAAATCTGCACTTGAAAGGGAATCCTCTGAACTGGCATTCATGCTAAAATTCGACACTCTCCCCAGGGGGCTGAACAAAGACCCCAACTACCTTACCCATTACAAAGATAGCTTCTTTTTTTAATTGTATTCTTTGGTATATATGGTTGTGACTATTTTCTTCCACTATTTGATCTGAGGAAGTGGGTCTGGCCCACGAAAGCTCATCATCTAATAAACCATCTTGTTAGTCTTTAAAGTGCTACATTGTC